GGCCGTTGGACAGAAAAAGTCTCAAATTGAAACTGACCAGCCGGCGACTGTCGTCAACATCTTCCGAATTGGCCTTGTGTGTGGGGTGCTTGCCATGTATACGCCTCACTCCTTATCAACAGAGATGGGAGATGGTGACTCTCCTGAGCTTCTCGCTAGTGCCTGCACAAACTCATTGTGAGAAGCGCACCGCAGTCACTGGGAGGTACAGCTTCCTGTGTGTCTCAGACCTCATCCGCCTGGATACCCGCTGTACACTCTACTTCTCCAGCTCTGGCTCAGCATAGGCCTCAATCCTCATCTCCTCTCCACATGCTTGGGTGTGCTGGCTTCCGCAGCTGTCTTCAACGCGGTACTTCTATGTACTATCATCCACCTTATGTTCGGGGAAGGCCTCTCTGATAATCGCTATCGTAGCGAGCGTACACTACTCTCTTGCTACCCTTCGCCTCCACACAGTAGTGGAAGTCTTTGCACTCAACTCGGCCCTTCTCTCGTGGACATTCTACTTCGGTACTCGCTGGCTGCTTCGCCGGCCCAATCGATGCCCATGGCACTGCGGCCTCCTGATGGGTCTGGCATCGAGTAACCAGCACACGTCTTTACTCTTCTTACCGCCTTTCATCTATGTCGCTCTGCGACGACTACCTTTACGTGGAATGTTCAGTCTCGGCATATGCTTTGCTGTTGGACTATCACCCTATATGTACTTACCATTCTTCCAAGGAGAGCTATCGTGGCCTACCTCCAGTTTGCTGAGGCACATCCTTAGAGGTGACTACGGCACACTCAGTCTCGGAAGTGCAACTAACAGTCATGCATCTGATAATGCAAGCAGGTCTTTGGCTGTTATTGCCGCCTTCATTAGGGATACTGGTGCGCTATCTGTATGTCTCGGTCTTGTTACCGTGGGTGCAGCTCTTCCAATGAAGAACACCATGGTTCGTGTGGTCGCTATGGTCTGTGTCAGCTTCCTTATCTATATGACGGTGTTCTCATGGATGGCGAATCTGAGCCTTCAGTCGAGTCTTCTGCGATACTCTGTGTATCCCCGCTTTTGGGCGCAGCCTCTCCTCCCACTGCATCTTCTCGTTGGCTTGGGGTTGGCGACTCTGTGGTCCACCGGAAGGAAACTCTACAAGGGGGCGGCCTTGTGTCTGATTATCGTATGGGGCCTGGAAGGGATGGTTCGGTATTCACCGAGCGAACTCGTTCACTCGAGGGTGATTAGTGACTACTATTCCGAATTCCTCAGGGTAAACCCGCTCGTTGTGACAGATTGCAGAACTGTTATTCAGAAACTCCCTCGCAACTCCATTTTAGTGACCACAGGCGACATGTCGGCCTATGCAATGAAGTACCTTCTGGGTTGCACTACAGAGCGTATTGATATCCGCACGGTCTCCGAAGCTGAGCTATCTTCGGGAGACTGGTGGATAACTAGTCAGCGGAAGCACATCATGCCTGGTCTCAGTGAGTATCCGGCATGGTCAGCTAGGCCAAGGGATCTCGACTTAGGCAACACGCACATCCCCAATGCAACTGAGCATTTGAAAATACTGATGAAGTCAGCATTGCAGGAGGACCGCCCACTGTAGTTTCAGCTCATCTGGATCTTAAAGTTGTGGGCTCCCAGATTCTTCGTGCATCTGCCATCCTTCATGACAGCTGGTAATGTCCCTGATTATTTCGGACCCGATAAGCTAATAAAAAGTCTCGCCTTCTACCCCACAGGACCAGCCATCAGAGTATACTAGGATTAGCTGCGCTTCAGCTTGGGAGGCGCTAGTTAACAAGCGATGAGGTTGATAGGTTTACACTACTGAGAATGCGCCTCGGACTTGGGGAGAACTTCGAACTCATCAGAAGGAGTTGTCGAGCAGTGGTTCGGCCTTCGATGGATACAAACTGCTGGAGGGTGAGGGGACACGGGAGTGTACCATGAACGAACATATTCATAGCCCCAGGAACATTCGAAGCGGCTCTGTTT